CCATTCAAGCATTGGAATGGCTCCTTACGAAGCTTTGTATAGAAGAAAATGCCGTTCTCCGATATGTTAGGCTGACGTAGGTGATAGACCTTTGTTGGGACCGAAACTTGTGCAAGAAACAACTGAGAAGGTGAAACTGATCCAACAGCGTCTGAAAACTGCACAGAGTCGGCAGAAAAGCTATGCCGATGTTCGAAGGAGAGATAGGGAATATGAAGTTGGGGACCATGTGTTCATAAAGGTGACCCCGATGAAGGGTCAAAGTCGGTTTGGTGTTAGGGGCAAGGTGGCGCCAAGGTATGTTGGACCTTATGAAGTTCTCGAAAAGATCAATCCAGTATCGTATCGGGTAGCCTTGCCTCTAGTACTGGAACATATGCACAACGTCTTTCATGTATTGATGCTTCGAGAGTACTTGAGAGATCCATTTCACATCATTGAACCAACACAAGTGCTTTTGAAAGATGACTACACTTATGAGGAGAGACCTATCCAGATTGTGAGTCGTCGGATCAAAAAGTTGAGAAATAAAGAAATAGCATTGGTAAAAGTTGATTGGCAGAACCACGGAGAAACCTACGCAACTTGGGAAACCGAGGAAGACATGATGAAGAAATATCCGGATTTGTTCCCTTTGGACCCAATGTTAATTCCGAATGAATGTAATTTGAGTTTGGAGGACCAATCTCTTTTAAGGGGGGAAGACTGTAACAACCCCGACCTAAGATTAATGCTAATTCATGTTTAACTAGGCCAAATAAGTAATTAAGAAGAAATCATGAGTTAAATTACATGTGCATTGCATTACTTTTGTGTCTCTATCTGTTCAGTGTGGAAAGATCTGTTCTTGCTTGAACTTCGGTTTGCAAATTGGAGGCCTTATCGGCGTCCGAATCAGAAATTGACTTGATTTATGTGCTACTTAGGATTTATAAAATTTTATGGTAGGTTTAATTAAAATTCGGTTCAGAACGATTAAATTAGATTAAATTAATGCCATTTGATTAATTTTGATTAATTACTACCTATAAGGCCATTTTGACCCCACTAATTCTGTTTGACACTCCACTTCTCCTCACCATTAAGCCCCAAACGAGAGAGAGAGGTAGAGGGAGAAGCTTGGGTTCAATTCTAAGGGTTTAGAAGAGAATTTCTAGGAAGGATCAAGAGTTGGAAGGTTTTGGTGGTTGATTGTTGGATTGGGCTAAGATTAAGGGAATTATGGACTCTAGGTAAGGGATCAAGCTTTTAGTTGTATAATTGAATTTTATTCTTCTAAGATTCAAGTGAAATGCTGAACTCATGCAAGAATTGGGTTAGAACTAAGCAATTGTTAGTCATTCCATGCATTCATGCATGTTTCATAGCATTTTGAAGATTGATTTTCAAAAATTCCCTCATGTATGTGTTGAGTTCACTTTAATTTTGGGCAAACAATGAGTTTCATGTTATTTAGTAGCATTTGATCATGTTTTGGAGAGCCTTAGTTCAATGATGTGCATGCATGCTATGTTCATGAATTAATCTTGAGTTTCAAGTTGAATTTTTGCACAATTGGCATCCTTTTGGGCCACGATTTCTTGAAATAATGCCTTAAACATGTTGTTTTATGAGTTTCTAAGTGTTTTCCAAAGTTTTGGGCCCAGAAAATTGAGTTTGATGCATTTGAGGTTGAATTTGAGCTTGGTGATCAAATCTGAAAATTCCAAAAATTTGATCCACGCTCGAGCGGGAAACTTCACGCTCGAGCGTGAAATGCATATACTCAGAAGTTCATGTGTTTTGCAGTCCGCTCAAGTAAGGGAATACGTGCTCAAGCGAGGGTCTGAGTCTCACGCTCGAGCGGGGATCGAGCCGTCGAGCGTGAAAAACATGCAACCAGTAATTTTTCAAAAGTAGTCCACTCGAGCGGGGGAAGTCACGCTCGAACGGAGATTCATTGTCTGCATGCTCGCTCGAGCAGGAAAGCCATGCTCGAGCGTGGACCCTATTTTCAGCAAGTTTTGAAAATTGTTTTCCAATACATTTTTGCATCCTCATTCCATCATTGGCATTCCTAGGCCATGTTTAAGACTCCATAATGAGGATTAAAGGCTAGAAATGCACTAAGAACAAACGAAATAAGTGATGTACAATTCGAACGTGTGTTTCAGGTGTGTATCTGTTATGTGTCCTGTAGGTCACGTGCCGTATATTGTTTGACCAGTCTGCTCCGTTTGTCTGCCTTAAGCCAACTTTGAGTAATAACATAGTAAAGCTATGTTCAACTTTATATAATTTTTGTATGATGAAATAAGATTTGTTTTCTGAAATGCTATGTTCTGTACAATGAATGATTATCCAATTTCTGATATGCATTCGTGGCATCTTTAGCATCATGTGATATGTGTTAGCTGTTACCTGGTATCGGAGAATCCATTATAGAACTCAATATGTTTGCACTCTGTTACTCGTACCGGAGGCTCCATCATGGGGCTCAGCATGTTTATTCTCTGTTACCTGGATCCGGAGGTTCCTTTATGGAACTGGTTAATCATAACCACCATGTGTCCGCATCTGTTCTGTATCTGCTCTGTTAGCGCTAATGGATGTACCACGTAGGCTTAAATAAGACTTATGACTTTTGTATATGATCTGGACAAGAACAAGAATATGAATTTGTTATGAAAACGAATTATGATTTCTGAATCTGTATGGACTTATTCATTCAAACCCCTTTACTCCGTTATTATTCCCTAGGCTTCCGCTCACTGTTTATATTATGTATGCTGGTGAGCAAGCACGTGATCGGGGCCGGAGTTGACGGCCTTCATTTTGGTTTTTGTCAGCCAACCTTTGCGCCTCCCAAGGAGGTTTCGGACGAAGCCTTGTTTGTGGCTATTTTTTTGTAATCATCATAAACTCTGTTTGTTTTGTTAAGTCGGGTTGGTTTTCCTATATTACCCTTATGGGAGGAATATGTAAATATACTGTATCTTTTGGTCGTCACTCTTATGTTCATACAAGTTTTAAATTATTTTGTCCCATGTATGTTGTCATAGCTCATTGGACCATTTATATTTTGTATATTTGCTTCCACAGTCCCTTATTATATGCTAATCTGTCAAGAGGCCTTTGGTAATCTAAGGATTACTGGCCGGTTATGATGCTAAACCTACAGGGGCGGGTTTGGGTTGTGACAAATAAAGAGAAAAGACAATGAATAATAATCAGAAACCATAAACCCGAGTCTGGACCACCACAAATGTCGGGTCAAAATCGGGATCGGTATAACCTTCCCTCCTTAAAGAATTTCGTCCCCAAAATTTCAAATCAAGCTCCAAAATCATTATTAAACCATTCACAACAATATTAGTATAGCCAATCCCACCTCATGACCCATTCACCGGTCATGCATTCTTACCAACTCGATACACAAGTTCTATTATCAAGCGTGCCAATTACAATTCTCAAAACATTCACAATGTATAAATCAAACCCAAGTTCTTTTCCAAACTTTATTCAATATATATACAATGTTCCCAAAAGTGATACGACACACAATATTCCATATTCTTAAAACATAAACAATGCTTATATTGAATTCATGTTTGCAAACTCCCATAACATATACAATGTTCTTATAATTTAAAACATATACAATGTTATTACATTTCGTAACATAATCAAAATCTCAACACATGCTTAGGCTTCAACAAACAAGTCTTGATATTTCTCTCAGACTTCCAATTCATGCTCTGAAGTCGCTTCCTCGACCCCGTGATATTTCCATAATATTTTTACTAACGGAATTGTTTTGCCTCACAAGACTTTGTCCCGGGTATCCAAACTCTCACCGGTCTCTCCTCATACGAGACATTCTCGTCTACCTTTAAGTCGGTCCAATCCAATACATGCGATGAATCTGGCACATACTTCCGAAGCATGCTAATATGAAACACATCATGGACTCCAGAAAGTTGTGGCGGTAATGCCAAACGGTAAGCTACCTCCTCGATCCGTTCAAGGATCTTAAAAGGCCCAATAAACCAAGGGGACAACTTCCTACTCTTCCCAAATCTCATCAAACCCCACCTAGGTGATATCTTCAAAAAGACATGATCTCCCACCTCAAAAGATAAAGGTCTCCTTCTACGGTCGACATAACTTTTTTGGCAACTCTAAGCTGTAACCAACCTCTTACAAATAATTGCCACTTTCCCCGTCATCTCTCGGACCAACTTTGGGCCCAACATAGGTGCATCACCCACATCGGCCCAACACACTGGAGATCTACATGGTCGGCCATCCAAGGCTTCAAACAGTGCCATGCCAATACTTGACTGGAAACTATTATTATAGGAAAACTCCACCAAGGGCAAGTGTCTCTCCTACGAACCCTTGAAGTCAAGGACACAACCTCTAAGCATGTCCTCAAGAATCTGAATAGTACTCTCGGACTACCCATCAGTCTGAGGATGACATACAGCGCTAAAAGTCAATCTAGTGCCCAAGGCACTCTACAAGCTCTGCCACAACTGAGCTGTGAAACGCGGGTCTCTATCTGAAACAATCGTCACAGGGACCCCGTGCAACCTCACCATGTCCCTGATATACAAGTCGGTAAATCACTCATGTGCATAGGGATGAAGTGCGCAGACTTGGTTAATCGATCCACTACCACCCAAATGGCATCACTACCCCGTTGAGTCTTTGGAAGGCCCACAACAAAATCCCTCGTGACATGCTCCCACTTCCATTTGACTATAAGCAAGGGTTGCAACAAACACGACCACATCCTTCTTCATACCTCTCCACCAAAACTGGTGACTTAGGTCATGATACATCTTTTTGCCTCCCGGATGCACCGCAAGGCACGGATAGTGAAACTCTAGAAGTACTTCCTCTCAGCGAGTCTCCGACACGAACAAACGGTCATGGTATCTCACACTCTAGTCGGGATACACAGTCAAGTCTCTTTCTACCTTCCCACTGGAAATCTTCTCTCGAGGGGATTCTACCTCAAGGTCACCCTTCTGCGCTTCTAACACTTGGTTTATAAGTATAGGTTGTGCAACCACTGAAAACAAGGCTGGAGACGCAACAGACTCGCCAAGGTGCAAGTCAAACTCCCCAAGAGCACCCAACATCTCCCATTCTTGGATGGAAATAGAAGCTACGCTGCTAATAGATTTCCTACTCAATGTATCGGCCACGACATTGGCCTTCCTGGGATGATAATGGAGCTCGAAGTCATAATCCTCTATGAACTCCATCCATCTCATCTGTCTCAAATTCAAGTCTTTCTGTGTAAACAGATATTTCAGGCTCTTGTGATCAGAAAATACCTCAAATCTCGTACTATACAGATAATGCCTCCAAATCTTTAAGGCAAAGATCACCGCTGCTAACTCTAAGTCATGAGTAGGGTAACTCCTCTCATGGGTTTTCAACTGCCGCGAGCCATAGGCCACTTGTTTTCCCTCTTGCATTAATACACAACCCAAACCTTCTCGTGAAGCATCACAATAAACTGAATAACCCAAACCCTTTCTGGAATAATGAAGACTGGAGCAATTGTAAGTCTAACCTTAAGCTCTTGAAATGACTTACCACAGGTCTCATTCCACACAAACTTGACTCCTTTCCTCATCAATCTAGTCAATGGTGAGGCTAGCCTAAAGAAATCCTTCACAAAACTCCGGTAATATCCAGCTAACCCCAGGAAACTACGGATCTCAAAAGCATTCTTAGGTTATTTTCAATCTTGAACTGCCTTTATCTTGGATGAGTCTACAGTCACCCCTTCCCCGGATGCCACATGTCTTAAGAACTTAACCTCTTTCAGCCAGAACTCACATTTATCAAACTTAGCATACAACTTATGGGCTCTAAGTAACTCAAGTACTATCTGCAAGTGTTCTTCATGCTTCTCCTCAGAGGGTGAGTAAATCAAGATGTCGTCCACAAAGACGACCACAAAGCGGTCTAGAAACTCACGAAAGATCCGATTCATCAAATCTATAAATACGGCCGGTGCATTGGTCAGCCCAAAAGGCATCACTAAGAACTCGTAATGGCCATACTGCGTACAGAATGCCATCTTTGGGATGTCCTCCTCCCTTTCTCTTAACTGATGATAACCCAATCTCAGGCCTATCTTCGAGAAACAACATGATCCCTTCAATTGATCAAACAGATCACCTATACGAGGCATTGGGTACTTGTTCTTGACAGTTATCCAGTTCAACTTTCGATAATCAATATAAAGTCGCAACATTCCATCTTTTCTTTTGACAAACAAAGCTGGTGCTCCCCAAGGCGAAATACTAGAGCGAATGAAACCCTTATCTAACAATTCCTGGAGTTGAATCTTTAACTCACTCAACTCGACAGGTGCAAACCTATACGGTGCCATAGAAATCGGTGTCATATCGAGCACTAAGTCAATAGAGAACTTGATCTCTCGGTAAGGTGGAAAACTAATAAGATCCTCGGGAAAGGCATCGGGGTATTCACATATCACCCTTGGTAACTCAACCCGGATCTTCGGCTCAGTCAGTGCATCACAGATTGGCTTGCCTACAGATTGGCCCTCGAGACCTGTGCTGACTGTGTAGGCTGGTGGCTCTGTGTCTATCTTGAACCAGACGCACTAGGTGTGTCACCCAACTGTGGGCAAAATCTCTTCAGGTGACTCGCTTGCCCACATTGATAACATGTGAGCGGCTTCCCTCTCCCCTGACTTTGGCTTTGAGAATGAGCTGAAGACGAAGCTGGCCACACTTGTAACAAGTGAAATCCCCCTAACCACCTCTCGCAGAACCCGAACTCGGCACTGGAAAAGTAGACCTCGACTGTGCTCCATGGGATTGCTGCGGATTAGAACCTCTCCGTCTCTTACTGTCTCCTTGGGCATCCTGACTTTTCCTGGAGCCCCTCATCCTCTCCTCCTCTATCTGCATTACGGTCTTAAGATGAGCCGCTGCCTCCATAAGGCGTCTGTAATCTCTAATCATCGAACTGGCCACCTTAAACATTTGCCCGGTCCTCAACCTCTTCTCAAACTCCAAGCAACGACGTTCCTTAGTCGCCACAAGCTCGGGTGTAAACCTAGACAAGCTAGTAAGGGTGGCTTCGAACTCTACCACAGGTGTGTTCAATTGCACCAACTTTGTAAACTGGTCTCTTAACTTCTCCCTAACCGTGGAAGGCAAAAACTTCTCCTGGAAGGCGCTGACAAAAGGCTCCCAAGTCACCCCAATGCACCTATGCGTATACTTCCACCACTGACCTGCATCCCTCTTCAACTTGAAAGACACCAAGGTCACCATCAACTGGTTGTCCTCGATGCCAAGCGTCTTGAACGTCTTCACTATCTGTTCTAGCCACTCATCTGTCTTCAACGGTTCCTTGGGATCACCCAAAAAACTTGTCTAGATTTGACCAGAAAAACTCCCTCTTTAAGAAAGATGGCCCCGCCTCAGCTACTTGGGCCTGGACTTGATTCTCAGCCCTGAGAATGTCCATGGACTCCCGCAATGTTCTGGCCATTTCACAGGCTAAGGCACCCACGGCCTGCTGACCAACTGGTTCGGCCACGTTGGCCTGACCAACACCCACCTCTCGTGCCGGAATATTATCCGGTACCAGCATCTCCTGCTATCTAGGCCTACTACGCCTACCACCGCGTCCACGTCCTGACATCATAATAAAGGTAACAAAGGAAATTGACAGACTTACAAATGTGCCGAAGCTAACTCACTCGCGTCCTAATACGATGGACAACAATAATTCACTCCTCGTAAGCACATATTCATATAAACACATATGAATTTTATTTATGGATAATGATCGTCCTGCGGCGTTGCTAGAGTTCAAATTAGAAACAACAGTGATCAAGTGCTCTTCTAACAGGACTTCTAGAAACCCGTGGACTCAATTAACATTCTAGAAATTTAATTTCATGCCGATATAATCACATAAGCATGCTATCATATAAGCACATATCGTCCATACTTAAGTCTCTAATAAATAAAACAAACCCATTGTGGTACTAATCACTTCCTATGCACCCAAAGTATTCAAACCCGGTACGCTCTAATACCAAGTTGTAATGCCATCAAAATAATACTGTAAATCCAACTTATAAGAGAAGTAATAATAGAACGATATGCCTTTATTAATTAGAGTTCGCAGTATAAAAGATAATACATGCAATATACATTCATAAATGTTCACCCTGAATCTATAGCATGTAATACCTGTTAATAATCAACAAAATAAATGTCCTATGAGCTTACATCTTTCCAAGACATTACTTGGTTACAACAAAAGAGAGAGTCATAAGCTCTGTACATATAAAGGCCTCAGCTTGAATAAGCATTAAGTACAAAGCAACAAAATAGAGCATCCAACTCCTAGGTCCTCCCAAACTACGTCCTTCGAGGAAGCATGTCATCGTCACCTAAAAATGGTTTCCCAAAGTAGGGTGAGCCAAAGCTTAGTAGAAACAATCTAACATAGAATATGAGAATTAATAGGATATAAGTATGATACACATGTTCATTATCCAATGACAAAATCATTATAGCACTTTTCCAAAGCCCTGTTATACGAAACTTGCTTCTCAATTCGTTCATTTTGGTTCATTGTATACATCTATTTCATTCAACCCATCAACAAAGGTTACATCTCTCAAGGTTCCAACAGATGAAATCATCATACAAATACATTCACTTCTATTTGTCATTTTACAAAAATTTTATCCGCAGGAATCAGCACCCATGTATACAAATGGTTTTTGGGACTTTCACCCTGGACACATAGGTCAACTTAGTTCAATGGAGTCCATTCCCTTTCTTCTCCTCAAAACATGGAGTACATCTCCTTTCTTCTCCCAAATATCATACATATACAATGTATATCATTCATAATCATATTCAATGATAATGGTTAAAGGATTAATTTCAATTCGCCTAATCCACATGCAATGTCTACAACAATCGTGGTTATGCTCCACCGATAACCCAAAGTAGTTATCTCTAAACAGATGTACAATCTTTATAACAGATAAATCATCAAATTTCCGTGAGTGATCGAGCAGATCCAACAGCACCATTCATGCACACAACCTCCCGATTTCACATTCTCCATATCAATTTCATTATTTGTACAAAATAATTATCCAAGACATTTTAATGCAAAACTCCTCATTTTCCAACTATTAACCCAAAGGCCAAAATCAACTATTTTGACACAAAATAACCTTACATATAAACCCCATAATTATTTATACAACACCCACATAGAAAGCTCTCTTTTCAAATTTGAACCCAAACCCTAGGTTTGCTTAAAACATGCCCAAATCCCACAATTTTCACACAACAACCCATAATCAAGTTAAAACTTATATTAAGGTGGAGAAAGTCCCTACCTCAAGTTTAGAAGACCAATGGAGCAAGCACAAAACTCCAACAACGCCGAAACCAAATTTCAATCAGATCAAAGTGAAGCTCCCAAGATGCTCTGCCCTTTTTCCAAAGACACTAGGGCGGAGAGATCAACGGATCTAGGAGAAAATGTAGAGAGAGAGAGTCTCACTTTAGGGTTTTTGGAGGTAAAGATCTGAAAAAGTGATGTAAAAAGTCATTTTCGCGATCTGATATACACACAGTCTGCTGGAGCGCAAGAGTTGACACTCGATCGTCAGACACAATAAGTTGTTTCGCTTGAGCGCAAGAAGTTTCGGTCAGAGCACAGAATATACAACTGCAGTACTTTTGCAGACAATAGACAAACCGCTCAAGCTCAAGAAAGGCTGCTCGGGCACCCACCCATTTGAGTGTAGGAAACGCTACTCGAGCGTGGAAAACATCCCTCTAGTACTTTTGCATATGTGCAAAGTATTGAGAGTTTGGAAATCCCGCTCGAGCGCAAGAAAGGCCGCTTAAGCGAAGGACCAAAATTCTAGGCAATACAAGGTTTGAAAACCAAGCAACCAACCTGTTTCAAACGCACTCAACACGTCCAAATAACTAAATTTAAGGAGGAATAAAGAGAAAAGACAATGAACAACAATCATAAACCATAAACCCGAGTTCAGACCACCACAAGTGTCGGGTCAAAATTGGGATTGCTATACTTATTCAGCATTCATACGGAGAGGAAATATTTTGGATGGAGTGTTAATCGCTAATGAAATAGTTGATGGTTGGAAGAGGAATAAGAAGAAAGGCATTGTCCTAAAATTTGACTTTGAGAAAGCCTATTACTAAATTGATTAGGAAATTCTTTTCTCTATGCTTTCAAATTTGGGTTTGGCGGTAATTGGATCAGTTGGATAAGAGAGTGTGTATCTTCAGCCAAAATATCTATCTTGGTTAATGGATCACCAACATCTGAGTTCAGTCCTCAGAGAGGACTTAGACAAGGTGATCCATTATCACCATTTCTTTTTAACAATGTGGTTGAGGGACTTATCATTCTGTTGGTTAGAGCTTTACAAATGGGTTTGATTAAAGGGGCAGTTGTAGGCTCAAATGATCTCAAGATCACTCATTTTTAGTTTGTAGATGACACAATACTATTTTGTGAGGCAGAATGAGAGGAGATAGTTAACATCAAAAGGATTTTGTATGTTTTGAAATATTTTAAGGGCTGAAGATTAATTATCATAAGAGTGTGGTATATGGGATTGTGATTGGGATCAATGATGAACTTACTTAAGATTTTGTTGCCAAATTGAATCATTTACATAAAAGAACTGCCATTAAAATACTTGGGACTCCCTTTGGGAGCTAGTCTAAGGAGAATAAGGACTTGCCAACCAGTGATTGACAAATGCAAACAAAAGTTGGCTTCTTGGAAGAGAAGATTCTTATCCTTTGCAAGTAGGTTGACATTGATCAAATCTACCTATCTTTGTTTAAGATGGCAGAAGGAGTTGCAAAAGAGATTAATATAATCCAGTCTAACTTCCTATGGAGAGGTGATGAGCTTAGAAGGAAAATCCATCAGGTTAAATGGGAGGAGATTTCACAAAGCAAAAGTCAAGGGGGCTTAGGAATTGTAACACCCCAAAATAATAACAACAATGCATCTCAATACATTTAATATAAATATGACATGTGAAACAATAACCTTTCATTTATACTCCTTGATCATACACAAGATGACAAATGTGCGTATAACTTCATAAATCCTAGATCCTGAATTTATAGCATATGGCATGTGTACAAGAATTGAAATAAAAGGATAATAAAGTAATTTTATGCCCTGATGGCTACATGTTTCCAAGTCAATACTTGGATACAACAAAATGACTTCAACTCAATATAGTTAAAGCTGAAGCCTTGTACAAAAATAATTACGTCAAAAGAAAAAAACAAAAGAAGCTCTTGGCTCCAAGTCCTCCCAAACTATGTCCTTGGTGGAGGCATATCATCAACGCCTGAAAGTTGTTTTCCACATAGGGTGAGCTAAAGCTCAGTAGAGATACTTTAACACAATGTATAAATCTTAATGAAGTCATAAGGTGAATGCTTATGTATGCCATTTATCAAACGTTTTATATTTCCTTTTTCAAACAATGCAATGTCAGGATTGTATAACAATTCATGAAAATCTCCTGTTTATATCAGAAAATAAGGCAGCGGATATAAAACACTGAGATTCTCTAGGTACATGTCTGCCAGTAAGCTATAAACAAGCACTACCAAAGCTATTTTACCGGTACTAATCAGAAGGATCGGCACCTAATCGCGTGGGTTTCTGAACTTTCACCAAGGACACACAAGCCAACAATATAAACTACAACCACACCTCCTGACCAGATTTACCAAGGCATTGACCCCTTTTTCTAAAAAATAATACATTTTAAATGTTCAACTATGAAACAATGCTCGATGCACAATGTATAAGAAATTAGTTTCAATTTAACCCAATCCTTATGCAAATTCTACAACAATCAAGACTATCCTCCACCTATAGCCCAAACATATATTTCTACTCAACAGATAATTTTCCAATAAAAGATGTAGTCTCATCATTTTCAAAATGGGAGCGATATTACATATCCAACTCCACTCTCATTATCAACAGATTCATTCATTTCGTCTTTTTAAATCCTAACATCTTTTTCTTTTTTTCTTCTATAAATCAAATATCCCTGATTCTTGATCAAAAACTCTTTTACTTTCAAAATCACATTTAATTAAAGAATTTCTAACATTTCAACATATCTCAACAATAAACACCCCCCCCCACAACCTTTCTCAATCACTCATTTAAAAATCCATCTTTTACATTTCAAAATCAAACCAAGTTTGACCCA